AAAAAAAGATTTTTCTTAGGGGCGGACTTCTGGGGGCTGTAACTCCGAAAGAGGGGGCCACTTGGCAAAAATAAAAAATACGGGTCCCCTAAATTTGTCTTAAGAATCTGTGACCAAATTTTGTTGCATGAATTTCGGGACACCCTGTATAGCGAAAAACCGCGATTTTTGCACTTTTAAGTTTTTGCACTTATATGTCGAGAACCTAGGACGATGGGCCATTTCTGAGCTCGAATTCATAGTCAGTGCACCAAAATCCTTTGGGTACACTAGATCCGGTCTCTGGTTCTGGACTTTCGTAAAATTTTGTCGGCCTGTTTCCAAAATAAAATGAAATGATTAAATAATTAATAGAAAACACATACCTGATATGTTTACATTCTCAAATAATGCATGAAATGCATGCTTTTACCTTTGACAAAGATTGATCACGTAAAAAACAGCAGCTACAAAGAGATCTTTTTGTGTCCACATTTTTCTTGGGATTGTTTCATCAGGCAGCTTCCCTTCTCGTTACAAATATTAACATAAAAATTATACAGGATCAAACTAGAGAAAGACGTCGTCAGGTGCGGTGGAGCGTTAAAGTATGGATAGGTCAATTAGGAAACAGGAAGTTCGAGAAAGTTTAAATCGTCAGTTTCCCAACAGGTGGATTGGCCGTGGANTACTGTTCGCCCATATATGAGTATGCACGGGAGTTTTATATACAAAATACCGGGAAATCTATGAAGGGATGGAATGGATATATAAAGCCACTGCCGCAGAAATATTGTTGAGTATACATGTAAAGTACATTCAGAGATGTAAGAGAACTACTACCTGGGTTAAAATTCAACTGGGTCACAAAAGAAGTAGGGGGTCTAGAAAGATCTGTGCTGGGTTGTATTGGAACAACTTATTTCTATTTAGCTAGGTGTTGAGGTGACGTTTTGAACTGAGGGGAAATTGTATGAAATGAAATTAAAAAACAAAGTTTATTTTAAAGATAATTAAAATATTATGCAGTTAATAAAATTGAAATCTACTGAATTGACTGAGGGTTGCTTTCGCTGTACAGCAAAAAATAAACGCTCTCTCAACGGCAATAAAGAATTTTATTGAAAACTAATGTATAGAAAACTTGTATGGAAAAAACGTCTTGACGGTTTGAGCCCGTAGACAAGATAGCATTGAATTACATCAGCAATATCTAGTAAAAGCTGGTAATACATAATTATCCTTAATAAAAAATGAAAATGATATGTTTAAATATAATTAACATAAAAACACATCCCTGATATACGGAAATTGTTAAATAATGTAATTATTGAAAGAAATATCTTGTATTTTTGTTGTTCTAATAACACCCTTGACAAAAAATAAAACGTCAAAAGCAACTGTAGAATATACAAGGTGTTTCAGTAATAATGTCATTAATTTTAACCAAGTATTTGGAAAGTCTAATAATGACAGAAAATCGAAAAAAAAATTTACGCGGTAGGGAACGCGCAGCGCATATCGGCGGAGTACACAGAGATCGGACGTTGTAGCGAAACAACTGATTTCCTAGTCGTCGTCTTATCCAGTTTTGCAATTGCAACGGATCTCAACTTTATTAGGACTTTATGGACGAATGAGTTAGTGTTTTTTAGTCGTATTTGTCATAAGTAGGTACCACACTACTTTGAAAAGTAATGTGTCACAGAATAAGGTATAGGTACGTACTATAAACTGAATAATTACCTACTTGAACATAATGTAATACTAACAACTCATATTCAATTACAAAACAGTGAAAACGTTAAGAACATTAAAGTTAGATTAGTGACCGAAAAGTACGGTAGTCAAGATTCACTCTCGATGTAGGTCAGCGGTCAGTAGCGGTCGGAAAAGGGGTTTAAATAATGAATTGAAAATATATTTTTATCCCGTGTTCGTATTCATATTGGATTACATCACGCTATTACTCATTAAATAGTCAGTAAAAAAAATTATCGAAAATAAAATGAAATGGTTAAATAATTAATAGAAAACAAATATTTGATATCTTTACATTTTCAAATAATGCAGTCATTCAGAGAAACGTCCTAAATTCTTGCTTTTACCTTTGACAAAGTTTGATCTTGTTACAAACATTAACATAAAAATTATACAGGGTGTCCCAAAAACATCCCCAGCGGCCGGTCATATACAGGGTGAGTCAGTTTTTTGTGGTAGGATTTTAATAGTTGATAGAAATTCATTTTTTAATAAGAAAAGTTTCTATAAACGTAGGTCTTAGAACGCTTCGTTTGTGAGATAGGGTGTTGAAAACAAACATTTAAAAAAAAATTTTTAAGAATTTTTCTTAATATCTCTAAAAGTCCAACATATATTGAACTGAAATTTGGTATTAATAACATATTAGTTATTTCACCCACCAGTGACGTGCCTGAGGTGGGTTACTGCCCCCTTTCAAAAAATAATTCGTACGCCCGTGAATTTTTCTGGAAAATATGTTAATTCTAAATTTTTTAATCAATTCTGAACAAAACAGATCTCTCAATTTTTTATAAAATGAACGGTTTTGGCATGAAACTGTTCCAACGATATTGGTACCTAATACATTTGTGAACTAATAAGAAAAATATAATGTGAAAATCAACTGAAACGATTGAATGAATAATAACAGTTGATAGAGAATCATTTTTTAATAAGAAAAGTTCCTATAAACATAGGCCTTAAAACGCTTCGTTTGTGAGATATAGGGTGTAGAAAACAAACATTTTTAAGAATTTTTCTTAATATCTCTAAAAGACCAACAGATATGAAACTGAAATTGACATGAAAAAACAAACACAGAACTTAAAAAAAGAATTAATTGACACACGTTACACAATGTTTGCGTTCTTATGCCAACGTTATGACATTTAATCGTTTTTGTTGATATTCAGGGTACATCATATTTTTCTTATTACAAATGTATTACCAATATCGTTGGAACAGTTTCATGCCAAATGAATTTAACCAAAAACAGTTCATTTTATAAAAAATTGGAAGAGAGCTGTTTTGTTTAGAATTGATTAAAAAATTTAGAAATTATGTTATTTTCCAGAAAAATCCACGGGCGTACGAATTATTTTTTTTAAAGGGGGCAATAACCCACCTCAGGCACGTCACTGGTGTGTGAAATGGATAACAGATATATTTGTTTTATTCACCACAACTAATGTGTTATTAATACCAAATTTCAGTTCAATATATGTTGGTCTTTTGGAGATATTAAGAAAAATTCTTAAAAAAATTTTGTTTTTAACACCCTATATCTCACAACCGAAGGGTTCTAAGACCTACGTTTATAGAAACTTTTCTTATTAAAAAATGATTCTCTATCAACTGTTAAAATCCTACTACAAAAAACTGACTCACCCTGTATAGCCAAAAATAAGTCGAAAGTCATCTATACAAAACTTTCGAAAAACGACGTCATTAGGACCTCATTAAGAATGAAAAATAAGTGTCCTTTAATCAGTAGACCTTGATGAAAAGTGAAACATCAAAATGTAATAATTCTCAATACATCAAAAGTTAGCGTAAAAGTACACACATATTTCTACAGAGAAGTAAGTTGTGTCCATATTACATGCAGTTCAGTGTCTTCATCCGGGGGATAGTCAACTGCGATTACAATTTTGTACAATGTTTTTAAACCTTGAAATGGTAACTTTTTTGAACAAGTTTTGCGAAGCGATAAGGCTCATTTTAATCAGGAAGGCGTATTCAACCACCACAATTTACATAACTGGAATTACGAAAATCCTTATCAAACTAGAGAAAGACGTCGTCAGGTGCGGTGGAGCGTTAAAGTATGGATAGGTCAAATAGGAAACAGAAAGTTCGAGAAAGTTTAAATCGTCAGTTTCCCAACAGGTGGATTGGCCGTGGAGGACCCATTGGTTGGCCTCCTAGGTCGCCTGATCTTAACCTAATCGATTTTTGGCTCTGGAGATATCTGAGAAATGCAGTTTATTCCACCCTACCTAACATTAAAGATGGCATTGGTCGTATTTATGGCGCTTTAACTGAACTTAACAATGAAACATTTGTTTTTGTTAAAAAAAAAATTATCCCAATAATTGTACATCGAACAAAATGGTGAACATTTTGAGCGAATATCTTTATAAATTTCTAATGTAGTGTCACCTTCATTAAATAAAACGTTGTGGGTACATATGCCGCAAGTGACCCATTTTTAAGCATTACGTCAAGAGCGCCGCCGTACACACCACAGGGTTCCCGGAAGACGACCCTGGCAGAGTGGCGCCAAGGACCACGGACTTCTGCCAGCGACTACCAAGCTATCTACGACCGACTCCACACACGGGGACTCTCCAACGAACACTCACCCCGTCAACACGTCTTTTCCTATACAAGTTTTCTATACATTAGTTTTCAATAAAATTCTTTATTATTATTTATTACCGTTGAGAGAGCGATTTTTAACTCGCTTAATATTCATTCCATAGGTATATAAAATGCATATAACTTATTCCACTTTTGATGTATTGACAGTTATTACATTTTGATGTTTCACTTTTTATCAATGTCTACTGGATTCAATAATACTTCATCTCGGATAATCTGATTGATTAAAGGATACTTATTTTTCATTCTTAATCAGGTCGTAACTTTCTTAAACGTCGTTTTTCAAAATTTGTGTACAGATGACTTATTTTTGGCTGTACTGAACATGACCGGCCGCTGGGAAATGTTTTTTGAGACACCCTGTACATATATAAATTAAAATTAATGAAAAGTGGGACATTTTTGAAAAAACGTCTTTTGTCAGAAAATGATTAACATGACTATATGGATTATTATAATTGTTTTTCTATCTAAAATTTTGTTTTTCTTATTTGCCTTTTTTACTAAGGATTCCTTAAAAAATATACTCTACCCTGGAATGGCAGAGTAAAGCGCGTTCTTGCACAACTTCGTCGCGTCACCCTGTACACAATGAGGCACGGATTATTGTCGACAACAAAGTCTTTATTTCTTTTTTTGTTTAAATATTACATTAATATGGTACATGATAAAAACAATGACACTTATATGCAACTCTCCTGTATCCGATTTGAGGTGGTCACCACCTCGGGTCCCCGGTATTTGTGCGAGAGGGTCTGGGTTCCGGGGATGGTCGGAATACCGGGGTTGCGATTAGGCCTCTGCAGACTCCTGTACACCTGGAAGGTAAAAAAGAACACCGTGAATATAAAGTTTTCTTTCTTCGGTAGATCTGGTGATACACAATATTTTTAAGTGAACAGTATTTTACTTGTTACCATAATTTTATCGAAACGTTATCCCACAATTTGTAATTTTCATTAAAAAAATAATGTAAAAATACCGCAAAATGTTTTTTAAGTGTTTNTATCAAACTAGAGAAAGACGTCGTCAGGTGCGGTGGAGCGTTAAAGTATGGATAGGTCAAATAGGAAACAGAAAGTTCGAGAAAGTTTAAATCGTCAGTTTCCCAACAGGTGGATTGGCCGTGGAGGACCCATTGGTTGGCCTCCTAGGTCGCCTGATCTTAACCTAATCGATTTTTGGCTCTGGAGATATCTGAGAAATGCAGTTTATTCCACCCTACCTAACATTAAAGATGGCATTGGTCGTATTTATGGCGCTTTAACTGAACTTAACAATGAAACATTTGTTTTTGTTAAAAAAAATGTTACTCAACAATTGTACATCGAACAAAATGGTGAACGTTTTGAGGGATTACCTTTATAAATTTCTAATGTAGTGTCACCTTTATTAAATAAAACGTATTTAGCTCGCTTAATATCCATTCTATAGGTACTATAAAATGCATATAAGTTATTCCACTTTTGATGTATTGACAGTTATTACATTTTGATGTTTCACTTTTTATCAGTGTCTACTGGATCTACTTCATCTCTCATCTCGGATAATCTGATTGATTAAAGGACACTTATTTTTCATTCTTAATCAGGTCGTAACTTTCTTAAACGTCGTTTTTCAAAATTTTTGTACAGATGATGTGGAAAACCGTACTTATCTTATCAACTTCGACGTCACCTGTTACATGATTGTTGTATAACAATGAAAAAGTAATATTAACGGTTGGTAGAAGGAAGCACAAAAAACAAACGCATAGGTAGTGAATTCTGGAAGGAAGCCAAGATAGTCGAAGATAGGCAGTTGAAGTGAGAACAGTGTGCAGATAGGTAGCAAGACGATCAGTGTAGTGTGAAAAATATAGAAGTAGTGGAAAATTAAGTGTTTAATCGGTATTAGTTAGCAGGTAATATTCTTTAAGTACTTTGTTGTTAATTGTTCTATGTAATCTTA